CCGTAACATTATCAATGACCCCTAACTATGGACTGTTCTCCCTGCTGCCCTATAGGAAGAGACTTCAAAGCATCCGATGCAGGTCCAGCAGATTCAAGAACAGTTTCTTCCTCATTGCCATTAGACTGCTGAATGTTGAATAGAATGAAAAAAAAAAGCGCTGAATGTTAGAAAAACTGTAAATCATATCTCAGCCTAATGTTTACATTTTATCACTGCTGCACTCAAGAAATGGAAATGTCTTGAGAGCTGTACAAAACGAAATTTCGCTAAAAACAAACTTCTCTATATGTTCACCACAACCAAATAAAACTTATTTGGTATTGTTAGCCACTTGTGGCTCTATAGTATGGAGGACCAAAACGGTCATTATAAAAGGAGATCAGCCATATCAAATTCCACATTTAAATTATACAGTTAGGAATCAGATTCTAAAAGCGTTTTCTTGTTGCATATTTGAAATAAATTCTAAGAGAGGAAAGGTAAATCGTATGAAATAATCCATTAATTATTGGTCGGACAGCCACATTTGGTTCACAAAATGACAAATAAAGCTAGGCAGACACTGTGTAATATTTTCAATTGTTGCACGCAGCTACAGTTTACACTGTACGATGAAGCCCTGCGGTTTCATTGTTCAATGTGAGTTCACAGCTAACGATGCATGTTCAGTGTAACGCTCTGATGCGATCTACCTGCTCACACTGTACGTCTCACTAGAGTGAAACGCGCTTACTTGGCAATTTGTGCTGAAAACCCTAAAAAGAAAAGGCAGCACCGTATTTGGACAAAGACCTGGCTGAGAAAACGTGCCTTCTACGGTCCGTCAATTTTACAGAAAGAACGCCATTTCACCAACACCCCCTGCCATGCTTCTGTGTTTACATCTGAGAGGAAGAAGAAAAATCCTTGTTCGCCAACTGAGCGATTTGCCCACGACGGTCTACTGAAAAACAAAATATGTTGGATTTTCTCCCGACCTCACGATTCCTGATCGGGAGTTGGTCGTGAGAGGCTGATCGCCCCTCGTTACCCCCTTTACACTACACGATGCACGATCAGGCTGAAAGTCGGGCCGATCGAATAATTCTTGCACAACTGGAAAATCGGCCAGAATAGGGCACAGCGTACGCCCGGCTTAAAGAAGTGGGTTACATCTGAGGAGTAAATGTGATTGGTTAAACTGGTTTTCAGTGTGCTGAGGCCCCAGAAGGGTCATGGAAATGTAAATGGAGAGGGTAAATAAAAAAAGGATTTAAAATTGAAAAAGAAATTCAATAAATATTTAACTTCTTAAATCCTCAATAAGAAAAGGCATTTACAATCAGATTTATGAACTGCAGTTTCTAAATCTCCATTTAGAAATTGGATTTGAAAATACATTTTCAAATTGCAATGGATTAATAAATGCAATTTATACGTACTCTTTAATAAGTTAATCTAAAATGTGCATTTAGCTGCTTCACAAACTGATTTTCTAAAAGAATTAGACTCTAGAATTTAAATGTTGAATTTAATACAGTTGTATTTCTTCTCAAATGGCTCTTCTGGTCCTCCATAGCAGACCCCTGCTCTAGCTTCTGCAGAAATGCACATCTGTTGAGAGGAGTGATGTTCCTCAACTGTAGATGACCTTTAACCGTCTTGCGGGGGAGATAAAAATCAACCGCAAAATGAGCTGTTAGTTAATTGTCTGTATCAACCCTTCCGAGAACATTGAAACCAGGCCGGTCGTGGCTAAGTAGCATCCAGTCATTTGTGTTCTGCATGCTGCTCACTGGTTTGTAGAGGAAGATGGAAAGTGGGAGCAAGGGTGTTTTATCGGGGGGGGGGGGGGAGGTTGTCAACCACGTGGCTGGAGCTGAAGGTGATCCAGAAACATGTGTGCAGCATATGCTAGGCCTGAGAAATACTTACACTGACAAACTAAGCAAAAATTGACTTTTAAAACAGCTGAGCGGGAAAAAATGTAATAAAAAGAAAAAAACATTTGGTGCAAAGTGACCCAAAGAAAGCATCTTCTCTGCGTTTAATCCTCAGGAACTCTTTCAGGATCCGGGATTCTTTAGTTTGGTAAAAACCTGCAGACACTGCAGAAAATGTCAGGAAAAATCACAGGAAATCACTGTTGACGGATCTGATGTAAAAGCTAAAACCATAATATAGATCTATTAATTGTGATGAATCTCAGAAATGCTCAGAGTTCCTGACCTGTTCTGGAGCCTCCTACACTAATACAGCTGGCGGTCAGGCGTTTCTTGAGCTAAAACAAAGCTGACAGATCTGATGTCAAAGCTGGATTTATTTTCAAAAAGCTAATCAGTCAGGCATAAACTTCACAATAACATCCAAACTAATGGTGACGATAAGCATGAGGCAGATTCTAGCTTCACATGAATTCTAGCTGGCAAGCTGAATAGGTTTTAATGTCACCTTTCCGAATGTAAACAATTAATCCTAGTTTTGAACTAGAGGTTGAAACATTTCAGAGGCTTTTGAATACATCTTGGTTTCAGTAAAAAAGCAGCCAAAGCTAGAAAACCTCTACAGCCGGTTACAGAAAAATTAAAGTTTGTTCCTTTATCCTGTCTGATGCATATTTTATTCATCCACTTTCACTTGTTTACTTGAGCGGCTAAACCAAACAGCCTAACGTTGACTAAAAATGGTTTCAGTGAAAGACGGCAATTTACTTTACTTACCAAATAGAATTTTATTATTATATTATATATATATATATATTATGCTCTCAGTTTACTTGCTATATACTTATCATAGTATATATTATATTCGGTACATATCCAGCTGTAAATTTAGTTCATAACACTACTTATCTATATATTATATTCATTTAGTAAGATTCTGTTTATAATGGTATTCATCTCTATACTCATTCAATAGAAACCCATTTCCTGTATTTATGGAACCATTATTTATCCTGCACTTGCTGCTATTGCACTTCTGGTTAGACCTAAACTTTAGCATTTTGTTGCCTTGTACCTGTACCTGTGTAATGACAATAAAGTTAAATCTAATCGAATCTAATCTAATCTAATCAATGACATACTTATCCAAGTTTATGTTACACATTCATGGCTTTTATCTAAAGTAGTATACTAAAAGGCTAAATATATATAAATATATATGCAATACTTTTGAATACTTAAACCTTAAGCTATACTTAAAGGTATAGAGGATGGTCTTTTATTTCTGGGTGGATCATCTAAATAAGTGGTCCTCCTAACTGTCAATCACTCTGGCGATATGTTTACGTAAGGCCGTCCTACGTGCTCATCCCGTTAGCTATCTTTTTCTGCGCATTTGCACTTGCAGGCGTATATCTGTTGTGAGCTACGGTTTCAGACAGTCATTGCAGTTCACCTTTCTCACCACGGTTCTTTGAAAACGGAGAAAGAGAAAAAATGTCTACCAAGTTTATGAGAAGAAAGGCCTCAGAAGAGGCAGATGTAGCCCAGAATGCTGCATGCAGAGAGCTCTCCTCGCAAAGCATTGTGGGATTTGCTGTCACAGTGGTCCGCTGTTGCTACCCGACAGCGGCGACTAAAAAAGATGGCGCAGGCACCGCTCAGTGAAGGAGGAGTTACGTGACCAATGGGAGCAAAAAGCAGTGATCATCTTTCCATACAGTTAGTTAACCGAGTTCGCTATAAAGTCAACTATATAGCTTTATATATTAATTGATGAGAACAGCAACTTTTAAACAGAGCGAGCATGAGAATTGGGCTTGTGCTTTCGCACGGGTTTAATAGGCATTCCCTCTCGGGAGCGGGTACAGGGTTGTGCATTAAATTCGCAAAAATCCTCCACAATACCTTTAAGGTTAATTTTTATACATATACGTCCAAAGTCTACCAAGTTAATTGATCCAAATATATTAGCCACAAAAAAGTACTTCTTGGGATTCAATTGGCCCACTTTAAGTTTACATTGAAGTATACTAATTTATAATGACTCATCAGTGCCCATCTGTACGATCTTATTTACAGATTTTATATTTTCAAATTTCTCTTTTTCAGACTGAGTTTTAAAGAAGTGCATTCTTTTGAACCCCGGTCGGCCTCAGCAGATGGCCGCTCACACTGAGCCTGGTTCTGCTGGAGGTTTCTTCCTGTTAAAAGGGAGTTTTTCCTCTCCACTGTTGCTACAAGCATGCTTAGTGTGAGGGATTGCATCCAAGTCAATGAGTCGATGCAACCAACTGGTTTTCCTTAGATAGAAAACTGAATCAATTTGACTGGATGATCTGGTTGAACTGTAAAGTGCCTTGAGATGACATGTGTTGTGAATTTGGCGCTATATAAATAAACTGAATTGAAAGTGAATTGAAATTGAATTTTAAAATTGCGTTCTACATATCATATTCTCTTCACTTCTGGGGAAAGGCTCTCCTCTGGAGTGACAAGCATCTTTATTAGTCAAAAGCAAGCGCTTTTATCTCAAATCCAAGTTAAATTTAAAAAATAATTTCTAGCCACATTCCTTTTCAGTCCTTATAACAAACCTTTAAACGATAAAAAAAGTAAAGGTACTGTCTTTCACTGAAGCCCTTTTCAATAAATGCCAGGCGGTTTGGTTTGGCTTCTCTAAAAAATGTTAGCATCAATCACGCTCAAGTAACTCTGCCTGAACAAGTATCAAGTCAAGATTAAAAGTCCTTGTGGAGTTTTAGCCCCTTCACATAATTCAAACCTCCCCAAACGGCAAGAGCAGACATGAAAATAAAGATGATGACTAAAACCATTAAAATGTGAAACATGTGATGATTAATCTGCATCAAACGGGATAAAAGGAACCCACTTTTCGAGAAATTTCAGCACCGAGTTGATTTTTCCCTCCAAAAGCGGCCATCATGAGTCCATCAGTGGGATCATCGCTAAACAAGATGCGTCTGTTTTATAAATTTGCAACAGGAACCAGCGAAATCGTTCAAGGACATGCAACAGAACAAACAAAAAAAACATATTTTTTTTTTTTATTAATCCAAGTACACACACGGGAGATTTATAGAAAAATAAAAGTCAGCTTGTTGTATTTATCCATAAAGGCAAAAAACACCTATTACTTAATGTCACATCACAGTGGAAAACATAAACCTGAATTTGCACGTCTGTAATAGCTGGGGAAGACATTTCAAACTGTCACAAAGATGGCGCTGATGAGTATCTAAACTAAAATTAGGTTAAATCTTCTGATAGCAATAATTTGCAGATGAACTAGACCCTAACGTAGAATCAGGTTCTTTCCTCTGCAACTTTTTCAGCTCGACGCAGCCGAAGTGGCGGCGGAGCGCTGCCCTCCATTTGCTTAACGCTACGGGTGATCTTGGAACAAAATTACGTGCATTTAGATCCATCACAAGACGAGGACATGACATCTTCACAAAGAAGCGAGGCGCACTTCGATTCGGTGGTGGAAAAGTTCACCGGGGATGTTTTCTTTTTTCCTGGAGAAGTTATGCAAGCAGGATATTTTCTTTTTTTTTTCCTTGTGTACCACATGAATGAATGCAATCACTTCCAAGCTCCTGGCTTAAAGCTACAAAGCGTAATGGGACCAGACTGAATGCAGAGAAAACAAAGATGCACCGTCGTTCATGCTCGCTCATGTTCCCCACCCCCGCCTGAAAACAAACACACAATTAAAGCATAAAACTTCAGCAGTTCTTTTTCTTTTTTTTTTCCCCATCATGACGGGTCGTCTTGCAGACTTGTTTGCAGCTTGACTCCGAACATGGCCTCCCACTGCGTTCTGACCCAGGATAACAGACCCTGAAGGAGCTCCGCGCTCTCTAAGCGCACGCACCACGTCTTCTCCTGTTTCATAGTCTGCAGAAAACATGAGAACACGACATGACGAAGTTAAAACTTCATTGAAACATCAGCCGAGTCAGGTAGAAAAAGAAGTTGTTTTTTTTAAATGAATGTTGAGCTTCTGCAACCTCAGGCGACCTTTTCCCTTCATTATGTCTTTCTGATGAAGTGGAAGGAAGAGTCTGAGTGGCAGCTGGGTCTGATTGTCTCGTCTGCATCAGCGACTGCAAACAAAAAGACTCCTCAGGATATACTAACCTCGTCAAAAAGCTTAATGTCCATCCTGTGCTGGTCCGAGGGCAACAAAACCACTGAGCTCACGCAGCTGATTGGGAGAGTTTCAATCACCACCACGTTTCCGCTACATGCTTCGCTGTTTTCAGTTACTGCTGAGCTGGTTTTGCTCCACTGGTGGTCTTCTTCCAGAAGATAGAGGGTTTCTCGGGTCGCCAGGACGGTCAGAGACAACCAGCTCTCATCTAGGAGAAAATATTTACCCCATTTATAAAGTATAATGTAGTTTAATATAGATTAATGGTTATTCTATTATATTTTTAACTTGGAAAAAGCAAAGATCTAAACAAGGATGTAAAGATGGATAAGGAAAGAATCCAAAAATCTTGGCTTTTATGGGGAAAAAAAATAGCAAAAAAAGCTACCTAAAGAAACTTCTTAGCTTAAACTAGCTCCCAACTTGATTAAGAACGAGTCTGAGTCCTGACCTGTGGATTACAACGTTGATTATTAAGTTTTTTTTATTCTAAGTACAATAACAAAAACAAAAACACAGGCTGGAAAAAGCACAGACTAAAATGGGATGTAGGAACGGATACACGGAAGAATCCAAAAATTGGGATTTTATGGGGGGAAAAAATTGCTAAAATAAGCTATTTAAACACCTTTCTTAGACTAAACTAGCTCCCAACTTGATAAAAAACAAGTACAGGACTATCAAAGACTAAATACAGAAATATTTAACAAACCAAGGTCCAATTAAAAACTCTAAAGGCTGGAAATAGAGATGCAACAGTTAGAGCTTTGGTTACCATTTTGACAGATGATGACGTTCTTTTACTCTAAGGTCCATAACAGAAACAAAAAAAGAGCTGGAAGTAGCAAAGACTGAAAGGAGAAAAACAACAGATACAATGGATGTAGAGATGCAAAAATTAGAGCTCTGTTTCCATTGAGTTCCACTGATCTGCCGATTACCACGTTGACAGATGACAGCCTTCTTTATTCTAAGGACCGTAACAGAAACCAAAACGTGCTGGAAGAAGCTAACCTGACAAGCAACAGAACAGCTACATTTGGTTGAAAAGTGAAAGATAAAAAGCTCTAACTTCCATATCAGTGAAATTACTTTTCAGAGTCGATATCGGACTAAAATGGGACAAAATCAGGCTGACCAAACACAGCCCAATTTTCAACATCTATTTCTGGATTAAATCCAGACTATGACATACTGACCAAATTTGGCCTAAAAACTAATGTCTAAATGATGTCTGGTGTTTGAGGGGTGGATCCACAAATCTGGTCTTAATGGAAAAAGATGCCAAAAAGGGGCTACGAATTAAAACATTTTAACAAACTAGCTTCAAATCTGAATGAGAAAGCTAAGAACCCGACTATCTGAGATTGAAAACAACTCAGGTTCAATAAAAAAAAAAATAATAATCTAGAGGCTAAAAGTAGATTGCAGCTCTGGTTTCCATTCATTTCTGACCTGCCGATTACCACGTTGACAGATGATAACCTTCTTTATTCTAAGGAAAGTAACAGAAACCAAAACGTGTGCTGGAAGAAGCAAACCTGACAAGCAAAAATTTGTTGAAAAGACAACATCTTTTTTGTCCAAACAACAACTACATTTGGTTGAAAAGTGAAAGATAAAAAGCTCTAACTTTTTATATCAGTGAAATTACTTTTCAGAGTCGATATCGGAATAAAATGGGACAAAATCAGGCTGACCAAACACAGCCCGATTTTCAACATCTATTTCTGGAATAAATCCAGACTATGACATACTGACCAGATTTGGCCTAAAAGCCAATGTCTAAACGACGTCTGGTGTTTAAGAGGTGGATCCATGAATCTGGTCTTAATGGAAAAAGATGCCAAAAAGGGGCTACGTATTAAAACATTTTAACAAACTAGCTTCAAATCTGAATGAGAAAGCTGAGAACCTGACTATCTGAGATAGAAAGAATCTGAGGTTTAATAAAAAAATAATAATCTAGAGGCTAAAAGTAGATAACAGCTCTGGTTTCCATTAATTTCTGACCTGCTGATTACCACGTTGACTAATGACGACATTCTTTATTTTAAGAATGAATAAAGAATCAAAAACAAGTGCCGCTGAATCACTGACTGAGTCAATGCGCATATCCTGGGTATTTATCTCATGTTTTACCACCTTAAATGGCTTTGAAGTACATGCTGGATGGTAGAATAAAAGACTCTCGATAATACGACTATGAATAATAATAAGACTTATGAATAATAACCATAAGTTATGTTTTAATTTAATGGAAATTTTTAACGTCCTCGTCACCAATTAAGACTTGACTTTGGGAAAAAAAAGTTTTAAAGCACTGGCCAGATGCCTGTGTGGTGCCTGGGTAAGCAAAAAAAGATTAATAAAGGACTTTTTATCTGTAAAATGTGAAAAATGAATGTGTTTAGATGAAAACTGTTTCTACGGGTTATGAACTCAAGATATACCGTAATTTTCGGACCATAAGCCGCACTTGAATATAAGCCGCAGAAGCTAAATTGCATGATTTGTACATATACAAGCCGCACCGGACTATAAGCCGCAGGTTTTTTTATGTTTAATTACCATATGGTTGGTGCTCAGAGAGGATTGTTGGGAAAGAGGCAACTGTTTGGAAGCTCCTATTTATTAACATTTCAACACAATTGAATTAAGAAGATTCTTCCTGCTGGCGTCTCCAACGTCTCACCATTGACTCTTTGATTCCAAGGTTACGTGCAGCGGTTCTATTTCCTTCATTTACTGCCAAATTGACTGCCTTTAACTTAAAAGCTGTATCATATGCATTTCAACGTTTGTTTTTCATAATGAGGGTGTCACACAAGCTGTCTTGCGCTCGCAATGTCCGTCTTTCTCGGAGTCTGCTTCCGGAAGACGTCCACATTCCCGCACGCGCGGCTACTTGTGTGTTGAAGCAAATGTGACGTCAACATGGTGGATGGTAAAATCCATAGATTTTGGTACCGCATTACCCGAGTGGCCATTAGCTGTAAAAGTCCATAGATAAGCCGCATTGTTATATAAGCCGCAAGGTCGAAAAATGCTCGAAAAATGGGGAAAAAGTAGCGGCTTATAGTCCGAAAATTACGACAATGCAAAATTTGCTATATATATTATGTACATCCTAAAAAACTTTTTTAAAATTTTCTCTGAGAAGACTTTCAGAGAATTACTAGGCCTGCAAACTTATCTAAACTAGGGGTGGGTATTGGCAAAGAAGTCATGATTTGATTTGAATCACAATTCACATGCCATGATGCGATTCTATCACGATACATCATGATACTTGAAATATTGCGATGCATCGCGATGCGTTGTGATATTTTCACTGAACACTGTAAGAAAAAGATACAGCCCTTACCAGTGGCTGACTGGCTGGGTATGATAGTGTCTTCATTTGATGCGTAATTGAAAGCAACTGAATTCATACATAGCTGTATTTATTGAAATGACTTTTGGAGGTGTTGCCATGAAAACAAATACTGGACAGAAATATTACTATTACTGGGGTGGACACACTGACAAAAAGATCTTAGGATTCATCAAACTTAAAATAACAAAATAAGGATAATCAGTGCCATTTACATGGCCTCAGTGGTCCTTTAAACCAATGAAACGAAAACATTAAAATATATATTTCCCCTTTTGCAAATTACGTGTGTCATAGCAATTTCATTTTTACCTTCTTTGTTTTTAAAGCCAAAATGCATCCAAGCATCTGACTTGAAATGTGATGGAGCCACGGGGCGAATTTTCATAGTGTCCTCCATGTTTTATTTCATATGACTCGTCGCAGTATCCCACGGCCGGACATGCTTGTGACACAAAGCAGCGGGCATCAACACATCCGCAGCGACATCTGCTGGACTGGAAGTTGTATTCCACTTGGTTTGGCTGATGTGTGCCAACCATTAATGTATTTTATTTGTTCTTTTTTGTTTTTTTTAATAATCGATTCTTGCCTTCAAGAACCGATGCAGTAGATCACAAAAATTAGAATCGTGATGCATCGTCATGACGATTATTTTGCACACCCTTAATCTAAACCAACCTGCAAACACAGGGATTTTTCTTATTATTTTTAGTTTAATGTTGTAGGAATCTTAACTAGGGCTCAACAATTAATTGCATTTGCAATATAATCACAATTTAACCAAACGCAATTGTCAAATTGCAATAGTACTCAATTTCAATCACACTATATTTGACAAAAGCAAGAGACAACATTTATCACTCCAGCCCTTTAGGTGGATGTAAAACACTTGAAGTGGGTTTGTCGCCACACAGCTAGTATGCAGGTCCGTGCACGCAGGTAGAATTTTTCACACAAAGACTACAAAGTCGTACAACAATAGACTTTGGGCCACCAAGGTTTCAAAAACTGAAAGCCGGGGTGGAAAAACCCCACAAGTTTGGTGAAATCGAGATAAAATCGCAATCACAATTTTGATTATTTTTAACCAAAAATCACAATTTTAATTAAAAATAATCGCAATTTTAATTTTTGGCAAAAATCCTTCAGCCCTAAATGTAACAAACCTATTATTTGATGGCATTTTTTTCAGCCTAGAGGTAAAAAAAAACAACATAAAGCTGATTTTATCTTCCTTGTGAACACTTACGGGTCAGTGATGTTTAAAAAGTTTCCTTAAATGCCTTTCAGTCGCATACTTATTGCTTTGCATGTCAGAAACTGTAACAAGCAGAAATAAAAAGGCAGATCGGGACGTGTTAGAACTGGGCCAGCTGAAATTCCACAGACAGGCTCAGCTGTGTTGGGCCAGCCACCTCGGCGCAGAGCAGAGAGCATAGCAGGCCGGAGCTGACGTGCGCCCCGCAGCACCAACACATTTGGTCCCTAACCGCACGCATGCAAATACAGTCATCTGTCAAGCCACTGAGTCTAAACAGTATATTTCTGCCTCATTTATTGGCAAAGGTCAGTGTGGCCTGTTGACAAGCGGCTCACGTCAGCGGCTGGCCGCAAATCACCTCCTGTTTTCCATCTTTTCTGGCCCTTCTTGCCATAGATTGAGGGGAGATCAAAGGAAGCGCCCCTTTTTCTTGTTTGTAATCTTTTTCCTTTAGTCAATTTTACAATTATTATAAAGGATAAAAATGGCTTTTATCAATTTGTTTTTTTTCTTGCCAACATTTTCACAAGTTCCACCCTTTTCCACACCCAAATTCTCCTAACTTTTTGGTACTAAGTTCAAAACAATAAATGGAAAAGTTCACAATGAGTTTATGGTAGGGATTTCTGTGGTGGTCAGGTTTTAAAAATGGATTCTGAGAAAAAAAAAAAGGGAGGAATCAGTGGGTGGACTGGTGGGTGTGGCTAGACTGCTGGTTCCAGTATATGGATGGACGCCTTAAACCAACATACCATTCATTCATTATAAATGGATGGATAGACTCTATTTTCCTGGTTCAGCTAACGCAGTCCTTTAATCTAAAACATCATCAGACTACGTAGGACTTCACGCTCCTCAAGGTTCTTGTTTGCGTCAGGCTTCTGTGCAAGCCTGAGGCCAAACAGGTCAAGTTATACGGCTTTCTTGGAGATAGATCAATATTCTGAAGCATGTGCAAAGATTTTATATATTAAATGAGAGGTGTGAGGGGAAAAACCTTGTTTGCATTTCCTGGAGGGTTTTTGTGGATTTTCACGATTTGTTGGGCGATTTTGTTGTATCAACAGCTTTATTATTAAGATTAAACTCCTGGTTAGTGATTATGTTTCCTTGAGCACTTCTGCTTAAATCAGAGAAACCTGGTGAAGAAAGTAAAATATAGTTTTTATACAATCTAGGAGATTTATGGAGCAAGTAAAAAAAAAAAAACTGTTTTTCACACGAATATAAGTCATATGATTGTTGAGCACAACAGTTGGAGGATTATGCTATAGAGCTGTTTGTTTAATACGGTGTGACTGCTCATTAAAACCTTATATGTGCATCTAGGATAACATTTAACTTCTATAAAGTCTGTCCCAAAGCTTTAACCTCCAATACTGTTGGGAATTTGAGACTTGGGTTTAAATTAAGGCCAATTCATAAAATACAAAAAAAAGCAACATAATAGTGTAAGGGAATTAGTGGCATGAAATATTCTTAATTCTTAGCGTAAATGAATCACAGTCAGCACTTCAGGGGGAATCCCTCCTCTGCAGCATTTCTCTGTTTAGTAGGAGAGCTTGGAGAAGCTAGATTCAACCATTTTAGATGACGTTAGCATTTAGCTTGTAGGTATTTCAGGGTAAATTTACCTGTAAGCTCTGAGTTATTCCAAGATAAGTCAGATTAGTCATCATATCTGAGGTATTCCAGGCTAAATTTAGTTGATAGCTGAGTTATTCCAGGCTAATTTTAGCCGTTAGCTCTAAGGTATTTCCAGCTGATTTTGATTTTTAGATTGGAGGTGTTTCAGGCTAACTTTAGCCGTTAGCTCCAAGGTGTTCCAAGCTAATTTTAAGTGTTAGTTCTGAGCTATTCCAAAATAACCTTAGTCATCAACTCTGAGATATTGTAGGCTAACTTAAGCCTAACTTAGGCTAACTTATGCCTGAATTATCTCTGAGCTCTGAGCTGTTTAAGGATTACTTCAGCCATTAGCTATGAGGTGTTGCAGGCTAACTTTAGCTGATAGCTCTGAGGCTTTCCAGGAT